CCTAGTTTTTGTCTGGCTTGCAGGCTAGCAGATTCTCGCATGAGGGGAAAATCGGCTCAGGTTGTATACTTATTTTTTGCACAGGCATTTGTTTACTGTGAAGTAAAGTTGAAGTTTTGCAAACTAATTTTGAATAAAACTTGAAGAATAACTGGCAATTGCTTTCTCATTTCAAGAGGTCTTTCATAATTATAACATGCTATTTTATATCAAATCAAATCACTTTTATTGTCACGTCACATGTGCAGGTACACTGGTACAGTACATGCGAGTGAAATTCTTGTGTGCGAGCTTCACAGCAACAGAGTTGTGCAAAAATACAGTAATGTAAAAACAAGTAAAATATAAAAATGGCTAATCTAAGTATACAAATGAATAAAGTAAACAATAAGATAAGAGATATAAAATGTACAGAGGTTGGTATGTGCAACACAGTGGCATTAATGTACAGTATGGAGCATGTAATGTTGGAACTTGGTGGAGCTCGCGACGAGGCAGCCATACTCGGCGCCATCTTGGCTCATCAATATATGATATAAAGGTTTACAAACACAAAAGGGTAATTTATTAGAGTACTCGATTAATCGAAAAAAAGATTCGATAGAGTACTCGATTACAAAAATATTCGATAGCTGCAGCCCTAGCACGTACAGCATGCGCGCCTCGTGCACGAGCCTACCATTGAAGCTGCCGTTACGCTTCTGGCCTGAAGGGGCAATCGCGAGCATAAAAATTCAAAAGTCCGTAAAGTCCCTTTAAAGAAGCTGCCCTATTCTGCCCAGCTGTGTGCATCAGGTCTGTTTATGTTCTACAACAATGAAAACTGGTGAAAATTTGGTCTAAATCATAATCAGCTTTAAACTGAAATTTGATTAAATGATACACATTTAATCAGATGATGAGAGATCTACTGTAGGATGTAAACAGCCCCAATAGAGCCAACAGATAAAAAGTCAGTCTACAGTGTGATAAAGTTCAACAACATTTATTATGTAAAGTGATGGAAGTTGTTACTTTTACTGAATAATCAATAAGATGTGATTTTCCATATAAATATGAATTATCAACCTTATTGGTCTTTGAATATTTGATTTATAAGGATCTTGGGTTCTTTGGACTGCCAGAGAAACACACACTTCATAATAATTCAGAGTCAAGAATATAGTTTATAAAAATGAATTTAATACGATGTTTCTAAACTAATGACACATTTTGACATTTTTCAGGCTCTTTTATGAAAGAAACTGAAACTTGTTTGTTGCAAATCAGGAAAGGATGTTTATTATAGCGATGATTTCACTTTCTCTTCAAAAATCCCCTCAAGATCTGGCTGTAAAGATAAAAGCCTGCAGGAGAGCCCTTCCAGCCAATCAGAGGTGAGAAAGGCAGGACCTTCCTTGGACATGCTAGAATTCCAAATGCTTCCAGGGCGTACTGCTGCCCCCTGCTGTTCGTTTCAGGTTCCATCAGATCAAAGCGTAGCCCCTACTTCACACTGGAAGCATCAAATGGAATCCATTATAGTCTGTGGGGGTAATTCAAACCTGTCACGATGCGGAAATTCTCAGGAGCGTCCCAGAAACGGTTCACCACGCCGTAAAAGATAGGAATGGGTTACATTTTTGCCGTGAGTCGCTTCTGGGACATGTCAATGTTCGTACTTAACATAAGGCTAGACAGGAAATCACACACAGTTTCAGTGTAAAACCTCTGGTAAGTTTCAAAATAAATGACTATTGCAGCGGTGCGATTTCATACCTATTTAGATTCTGTCTAAATATGTGACCCATTGACTTATTTAGTCCCAGCATCGTTCGAGAACTATGTGTTTTTATGGCTTTAATCCTGGCTGAAGAGAGGGACTACATCATCTATGACATCAAACTGGGATATCAAACGTGATTTCCTTCTTTTTGCTTTAATGGTTTATGGCATAAACAAACTGTGACCTTGAGGGATTTTGTGATCTCACGAGTCCAGCGAGGAGCACGGCAGAGAAGCCGCTCCAGGGATGAGATTTTCCTGGTCTGTGATGGCGAAACTCACGAGTAAACCGTTCCGCTGCCGTTCCACGTCGCTGACGTCTCCAGAGTCAAGTGAGGGTTAACGTGAAATGTAGGACGATGCATCTTGTATATACCTAAACAGCTACCACATTTCACGATGGTGCATGACTTTGAATGGTTGACCACAGTTTGGTTGAAAAAATGAAACATTTCCAGCTATCAGTAGGGATGCACCGATGGATGGCATTTGATCCCAATCGGCCGATAGCGACCCTATCAGTTTTGATCGGAATTTTCAAAATAGATCAAAGCAGACCGATCAGGTAGGGTTGTCACGGTAACCAGTGTAGCGGTAAACCCCGGTAAAAAAAAAAAAAGTTGACAGTAATAATAACCGTCTTGTTTTTTTTTTAACTATATTATCTTGGTGGGTTTACCGTGGCTGCGGTGTAGGCGCGGTGACCCTTACCAGCCACCGTATCATCGGCTGAAGTTGGCAGCACATGCACCCTTTGTTTACAACAAAACTTTCTTGAAGCTAAAGCTGAAATAATGGCCAAAGGAGGAGACGGCAGCGCTCAGGACATTTATTATCCCTCAAAGAAGACAAAGTCGGTAGTACGGGCATATTTTAGATATTTGAAGAATGCCGAGGGAGTTTATAGAAGACGGCTATCCTGTTTGCAGCACATGCAGAAAGAGTCTGTGAAAGGCAGCAACGCTTCAAATCTCATGACACATCTGCGTGACCATCACCCACAACTCTACAGTCAACGCAAGGCAAGCTAACGTTAGCGTTTTAGCTAAAATGCGTGATCCGAGGATTTGGGTTGAGGGAGAATGCAACAAGTCGCTATATAAAGCAGCCGCAGCGCTGCTACCTGCATATAAACCGTGTCGCGGACACCCCCATGTTGAAATGACGCTATGCATTACGGGGCTCCCAGGGGCAGATAAGAGTTGGTCTCTCTCCGAGAATAATTATGAATTTAAAAATGATTACTGCCTGATGACATTTTCCCACATCTGCAAAGCTCACTGGAAGGACACAAACCGAGGACAATACTTTCCTGATATAGGGTTTATTACTCAAGTAAGGGTAAAAAAGTATCTGATTAGAATGCTACTTGAGTACTGAGTACCATCTGATCTAATACTTTTAAAATGATGACATCAAACAGACATAAAATAAGAAGTTATGGGCAAATATTGGTATTTTAAAGACTAAAGGGAAAAATTGTAAACAAATAAACAACATAATTACAAAATAACATATTTTAGGCAAAATTTAGACACAAACTGAGGACAATATTTCCTGATATACAGGGTTTATTTAATTGTGTGAAAATGTAGCACGTTTAAAAAAAATACCGCGATAATACCGAAAACCATGGTAATTTTGGTCACAATAACCGTGAGGTTACATTTTCACACCGTGACAACCCTAATACAGACCATTTTAGATTAGGTTACATTTCCTTTATTCCCAGATTATGTAGTTTGTACCACTCATTATAATGTTGTATAAAATTTCTGGCCAATCCACGTGATCGGTATCGGTGATCAGCATTCTTTGATATTGGTATCGGTGATTGCTAGCAAAAAACCTGATCGGTGCATCCCTAGCTATCAGTAAATAAGTAAATGCTGCACACCGGGTCTTTAAACATGGGGTATGTGATGGTGTTCTGGAACATTTTTTGCCACATACATGGTCTCCACATACCGAAAATTATTTCAATCGCCTCTGATATTAACAGCCCTGGAACTTTGGATTGTGTATTTTCAAAGAAAAAAAACCTCACCTAAACTCATGGTTCGCCTTTTATCTAGAATAATTGTTGGCAAATCTCCAATCAGTGCAGAAAATTACTTTTAGGTGAAATTGTATATTTTATATTCAGTGCTACTTCCTAAAGAGCAATGTTTACTCACATAATTAAAAGCTACATTTAGACAAATCTACTTTTTCCTAAATATTTTAAACCTAACTTCTAAGCCAGCTGGGGGTTGTCTACTGGGTTGCCACTCTATGCAAGCTAACCCTGCTATACCGGAATTTATAATTAGACACAGGTAGGCTTAACGCAGCACTGTTTAATATAAATCCTAAGCCAGTAACAGGAGCGACCCAGAGGTTATTTCATGTATCTCTAAGAAGCCATGGCATCCTGTTTTTACTCTAATATCACTTAAAGAAGGCTAGAGGCTAATGTTGAGCTACGATGCTAGCTACGATGCTAACGGTGAATTAGAAGCAAATGGCGATAAAAAAAACCTCAAGCTACTTTTCTAGTATATATCTACTTGTGGCAGTGCGGCGCGGCGCGGCGCGGCGCGAAAGGCTGCAGGGAGGGGAAGGTCGGACGGGACTGCAGCAGCAGGGAAGGGACTCGAGGCGGCTTGTGTTGACAGGTCTCAGAGGACAGGGGGTTGGTTCCTTGAGGACAAGCAAGGCACAGACTGTGAGACGCAATTGAGCTGGAAAAACATATAGAATAAAGGATTTAAGTGACAAGCTGTGTGTGCGTACTCGTCTGGTGAGGCCCAGAAACGTAGCTGGTAGTGCTACTTTAATGTCACGAATGGCCTGATTTTAAGACTCACAGGTCAGATACACAGCCTGGGTCACCTTGCCCTGGCTGTAGGTTCATTAACCCTACAGCTACACTACTCATCAACTCACAGTACATGACTCGTCTTTTCTTGTCATCTGGAATCTTTTGGAGCAGAGCCATAGCTGGCAACAGCCATTAATCTCACAGAACAGTAGAGAGAAAGTCACTTGTTTTGGTTTGAAAATGGGCTGTAGTAACCAAATTTCACCACAGGATTTCATTCTTAATTCATTCTTACATAATGCACCTTTAATGCTAAAGTTTGTAAATGATGAAAAGTCTCCCTCGGCAACAAACGTCTCAGATATTCTCCATTCAAATATTAAACTGGTTTCCCACTTTACATGAAGAAATTGTGATTGTCTGTCTTTCTTACCTGGTGGCCTCGCATTCTCTGAAAGTGACCAATAACGTCGCTGATGGTGTACACTCGAACGTGACCCATATGCAGCCGCCCAGATGGGTATGGAAACATGGAGAGGACGTAAAACTTCTTCCTGTTGGAGTCCTGGAAAGAACAAGACAATTCTAAACAGCTCTAAGAAAAGTTGGGAAGGATAAAGAAATAAAAAGCTTGGTTTTAATCCCACACAAAAACAATGGAAGAGTTTAAAATAGGCTTGAATGCATTCAATGAATGAGGTGAGAGCTGGAGTAAAAAGCATTCAGAGCAAGGGCATTGATGCTTTGTTACTGCATGAGGCTCGAACCGCGGCTGATTATAGTGTAAGGATCTAAATGGTGGCAGTTGCAGGTAATGAATGGTTTACAATCACAACTCTGTTACCATGGCAGCATAGTAGGTACCAGTTTCATCCGTTCATGCGTGATTACAGGAAGCCTGACTCATGAATTTTTCAATAAATTAATTAGACCCAGCATCTTGACATAAACGCACTTAATCACTGTCAGCTTGTCAGAGACGGCAACACGCTCAGACCATTAGGGTATATAATCAGCCAGAGACCCAGAGAGGAAATACAGGAACTCCAGCGGTGGGGGGAGATATGGAAATGTACGGAAAAGAAGATTTAACACCCGATGAGTGAAAATAATAATAAAGTTGTTTGAAGATATTTCTGCTGGTTAAAAGACCCATTTTCATGAGAGTTAAACTTCAGTTATTTGGGCTCAGCACCATATACGGTCCCAGAAATCCACTGAGATAGTGTGACGTTTGTATGGAAGCAAATATGCACCATAATTCAGACTTGATGCAAATCAAATCAAACTTTACAATTCACACATTGAATGCAACTCAAAGTGCTTTGCAAATAAAAGTGAGTCTTGAGCCCGTTCTTAAAAACATGACCGTTCTCTGTGGCCCTGAGGTTCTCTGGCAGACCGTTCCAGAGGCGAGGGCCGCCTCGCCGTGGGTGTGTGTTCTGACTTTAGGGATAACAAGGAGACGGCTGCCAGAGGAGCGCAGAGACAGCGAGGTTCGTACGGTACGAGCAGTTCTGAGAGATAAGAAGGCCCAAGACCGTTAAGGCACTTAAGAACCATTAAAAGTTTTTTGAAATCGATCCTGAAACACGCGGGGAGCCAATGCAGTGATTCTAAAACTGGAGTAATGTGCTCCCGCTTCCTGGTCTTGGTTGGGACATGAGCTGCAGAAATGCTTTTTTCATTTTAATGAATAAGAAATCCACAAAAATGCTTTTTTATATTCTTATTCAACATTGCTTGTTCTGTGACTTCATTACAATGATTAAAACAACAAAACAATGTCCTTTTTTAATGTCCACCAAGCAACAAGTCCAGCTGAAAATGAAGTGGCACAGGAGAGTTAAGTCAGTCACCTCGCTCTTCTTCTGTCCCCAGTCTGACCGTAAGCATGGGGGCGACGGTAACTCGGAGGTTAGCAGTTCATCCTGTAACAGGTAGGTTGCCAGTTCAAACTAACACACCCCTTCTTTCCACTGAATGTGAAAGCGTCGCAAAATGGCACCGAAACATGCTACGTGGCAATTAGTTGCGGTTAGGATGGAGGGCTTCCTTTCCACCGGCAGCAAAGTTTAACGTTTTGGACATGTCCCAGAAGCGAAGGGACACGCTCATTACGTTTAGAGTTTATTTTTTTTAGCGCTACACTTCCAAAACACGTCAAACTCCGCAGGTTAGATTAGACCCGACTGGAAGTCAAACACCCAAGCAGTGTAAAACATCTGGAAACTTTCAAAATAAAAGTCACATGCGGATAAAACGTACAAAATTTCCTGAGAAACCCTCGTAGCTGATGTAAACAGAACAGAAAAGTTACCCAACACTGTTTTGGACACATGTAGCCATCTTTCTCCTTGCTTGTTATTGTATAGAATTCTGAAATCACGTGTGGTTTTGCAATTCTCCCGTGATTTTGGGACGTTGCGGGACCAGCGGTGTAGAAAGCTTTCACTCCTGTTCGTTCCCGGTTGGAAGGGAGCTTGTAGGTGAAACGCCTTCATTTGCTTAAACGTCACTTTTTCTCACATTTGACTAGATGTTCTACTTTTACTGGGAAGCACTTTGGTTGCCTTTTTGGCTGTGTAAAGCACTAAACACTGATTGATTGGCTGATTTACAGATTGATCAATCAATGTTTATTACTTCTTTACATGTTTTTCTTAAACGAGTATAAAAAAACAATAAAGACTCTACTGTGCATGTAAACAACAGCTGTCATGTCACCAGACTAAAAATAACGAGCCGACATGCGTTTGAAAGGTAACGACCCTCCTACCTCCTCCAGTGAGTCCTTCTGCCACTGGGCCATGATTCGTGGGTGCCACCATTCTTCCACTCTGCGTCTAGTCTCAGGCTGATAATCTTTTTCCCAGACTCCCGTCTCGCTGAATGTGGTGCGAACACCGGGGGGCAGGAAGCGGAGTGCTGAACTCAGGAGCGCAGCTCTGCTTTTACAACACTGAGCTGCACAGAGAGCATATGGAGCCAGCTTTCTCACCGACACCTGCATAACTGCCTCCAGAAGAACATAAGACCAGTCAGGAAACAAGGCAGATGATCAAACAACGATCCTCATCTAACAAACAAAAAGTACAAACATAAACATATACGATTAACTAGTCTCATGGTAATTTTATAGGCTTTCTGAAACAAAATCACGACTGTGTCTGAGACTTCAGACCACAGCCGTGAAATGTGCAGAAAGATCACATTGCATTCATGCTTTTTTCTTAGTGTTTGGTCTAATTATTAGAGGTGGTAGACATGATAGATTTATTAAAGCACTGTGACACGGAAATAAATTATTCTGAATTAATACACGGCATCTATAAGGAGCACATAACGGAGACTTAAATCAAATCAAATCACTTTTATTGTCACGTCACATGTGCAGGTACACTGGTACATGTGAGTGAAATTCTTGTGTGCGAGCTTCACAGCAACAGAGTTGTGCAAAAATACAATAACGTAAAAACAAGCAAAATAAAAAAATGGCTAATCTAAGTAATAATATATACAGTATGTAAGGTATATACATTACTAAATGTGTGTGCTAGTATTTTAGTTTTTTTTTATTTATCTACGTGTGTGCGTGTGAGTGTGTGTATAACGCGTACATACATATTTCACAAATGAATAAAGTAAACAATAAGATAAGAGATATAAAATATACAGAGGTTGGTATGTGCAAAACTGTGGCATTAATATACTGTGTGGAGTGTGTAATGTAGGAGTTTCAGTAGTGAGTCTGCGCCGTGTTCAGCAGTCTGATGGCCTGATGGAAAAAGCTGTCTCTCAGTCTGCTGGTTCTGGACCGGATGCTGCAGAACCTCCTTCCTGATGGAAGTAGTCTGGACAGTTTATGGCTGGGGTGACTTGAGTCCTTGATGATCCTCCCCGCTTTCCTCAGGCACCGCTTCCTGTAGATGTCTTGGAGGGAGGGAAGCTCACCTCCAGTAATCCTTTCTGCACACCGCACTACTCTCTGGAGAGCTTTGCGGTTGTAAGCGGTGCTGTTGCCATACCAGGTGGTGATGCATCCAGTGAGGATGCTCTCAATGGCACAGCGATAGAAGGTCCTGAGGATGCGGCGGCTCATGCCAAATCTTTTCAGTCTCCTGAGAAAGAAGAGGCGCTGCTGTGCCTTCTTCACTGTGTTGTTCGTGTGCACTGACCACGTAAGATCCTCAGCCAGATGAACTCCAAGGAAACGGAAGATGCTCACCCTCTCCACAGCTTCGCCGTTGATGGTGATGGGGGTGTGTATTCCTCTGCACCTCCGGAAGTCCATTATCATCTCCTTTGTCTTTGTGACGTTGAGGGTGAGACGGTTGTCCTGACACTAGTGGGTCAGGGCGCTGATCTCCTCCCTGTAGGCCGTCTCATCAACGTTGGTGATGAGACCCATCACTGTGGTGTCGTCCGCAAACTTCACTATGATGTTGGAGTTTCTCGTGGCCTTAAGTTTTACCTGTGTGCTAAATGAGCATGTAGAGCGAGTCATGACTGAAGAGATAATTCAATCAAGTCTATTTATAAAGCGCCAAATCACGACAAGAGTCGTCTCAAGGACCTTCACACAGTAAACATTCCAATGCAGGTCAGGTCATTAAGCCAATCAGAAAAAAGTTTCCTATATAAGGAACCCAGCAGGTTACATCGAGTCACTGACTAGTGTCAATGTCTTTACAGCAATCCTCATACTAAGCAAGCATGCAGCGACAGTCGAGAGGAAAACTCCCATTTAACAGGAAGAAACCTCCAGAGGATCCTGGCTCAGTATAAGCAGCCATCCTCCACGACTCACTGGGGATCGAGAAGACAGAACACACACACACACACACACATACACCGACATAATGCACATGAACGACCGAATATTTTAAAAACACGTTGAGAGAGACCACTGCTGTGTCAAAAAGTGTTCCTCCTCAGCAGGAGCGAGCAGTTTGGGGGAGTCTCACTCGGTTAAACTCTCTCTCTCTCTCCTCTTTGCTGCTTCTTCTGGTGAATGAAGTCATTTTAACACTCAAATACAAGCATTAGTCTGATTATAGCAAACTGTTAAAGTGAGGTTTTGGAATATTTTTTATTTCTGAATAACAGTCGTTCACATTATTCAAAATAGAAGTCCACAAGCTTTTTGTATGTCAGCTGTGATTTTAGTAAAGTAGTGGTTTCTTACCAACTGAAAGATTAGTTTTTGTTTTATTTAGAGTAATTTATTGGCAGCAAATTCATTTTGGTTTTTTAAAATGCTTTAAAACTACCAGATAGTCACACAGAGGGAAGGTGAGGGGGCAGAAATAACTGTTTTATAATTCCAACCCCGTTCATCACAACTTAAAGAGACAACGTGTAGGTTTTACCAATTATTTCTGGAAATGTCCGTCAAAATGTTGCTGAAAATTAATGAAATGATGCCCGGTTGTTGAAAAATATTGGTGATTTTGTAACATATAACCATAAAAATCAGGTCTAAAATTCAAGGGAGCGGGTCTAAGTCTCTGGGAGACGCCATATTAGACGCCATATGTCCTTCTACGGGAGCCCATGAGGAATGTATGTAAATCAGTAAATGCATTTACTGATTTGTAACAAACGTTTACAAAACGTTCATCGTTCTTAATTGTTGTTGTTTTACACTTTTACCTCTTCACCTGTTGCCAGTGATGAAAGGGAAACTGAAGGGCTTGCCATTTTGCTAAAGTTTGCATTCCCCAAGGCTTTTTGACCCTACTGGGCATCCGTTGGTAAGGTCTTACTCCAACACAGAAATACTGCTTGCTTGCAACGGAAAAAGACACACTGTCACTTTAATCAAATCATACCAAGCCTAAAATCTCCCACCCATAAAACGTTGCAGTCTAAACCTGAAGGAGAAACGCTGCTAAAATTAACATTTTTATGTAATGTTTGTTTCTCAGTAGAGAAATAACTTTGTAGAAAAAGTGAATTTAATGAACCTTTATGAAAAAAAGTCCCTCACCCAACTATAAACTTAAAGGTCATAAGATATGGATGTTACTGGATCAGCTTCCCACTTCTGACTTCCACTAAACCATCTGGGACGCTGCACAGCAGAAGATCCATCTGTCTCATCATGTATGACACACGAACCAGTGAGGCTCCCTCTGCTGAGCCGGTTTGTAAATCAAACAAACTCTAAAAAAAACAAATTACAATCCCATCAGCATCACTCTTTGCTTCTCAGTAATAAATGAACCACTGTGTATAAAACTGAAGCAATGACAGAAACAATGTCAGGAGGCTACCATCACACCTCATGGCTGCAAGAACGAGGGCCTGACTGGTCGCCTCAGACACAAAAGCACCGCTTCAGGCCTGACATGATAGATTTCTCTGTGATTATGAGACTGTAAATCTTTCATGAATCTTGCTCTCTTTGCAAGGTCTGAACATCCCTCCATGGAAACTGAACCTGACTTTTTAGGTAGCACTCTTTCATAGCCAAGATCTAGTAAACACCCCCTCTCCTTTTCTTATGAATTTTTTAAATAAATCCTCCATTCTTACTGGTGGGACTTGGATCTACAGGAGCATGTGATTTATGTCCACTCGTCTGGAGATGACAGATGTCTCTCCTCTGCAGCACCTCCACTTGATGGTTTTTCTTCTCCGCTACAGTTTCACAGTTTGTGTTTTTCACACCATGTCGCTCACACAACAGCATGTTTTTGTGAAATGAGAGATTTGCTCGGCGTAATGTGATTATGCGTCACTGAGGTCGCAGACAGGCTGTTCCTCGTGAAACCCCCTTCCTGCTCTGACGAGAGGATGATAGCTGACAGTCAAACCAGTTTGTGCTTTTATGACCTGTAACTTTAACATTTCTTCAGTCTCACAGCATTTATTTGTTTACTTACATAACACTCAAGAAAACTACCAGAGCAAACGTTTGACTTAAATTAAAATGTCTTCTTTATTATAAATCAGAGTTTCAACATTGAAAATATTTTTTCTAAAATGTAACTTTGTGAAAGATAACAACAAATACGTGGGACAAAATGTCCAGAACAGTGGTCGTTTTCCCAATAAAAGTAACACAGAGCAGTTTCCAGCTTTTCCGCCCTGCTGGTTGAAAGTGGAATTACAACTGTTGTAAACAACACTGCTGCAGCCTGCTGTAGCTAGCGCTAACAACTAGCTAACACTAACATCAACCAACTAACACTAAAATAAACCACGAAGTTAAAAAATCCACACTGTTGGACAAAAAACATTATTACTTACAAATCCAGTAACAACAAAGCCAGGTCACCATCAGTTTATGATTTTGTAACCTCCTTTAGCTCCCTCAAGCTAGTGTAGGCTGTGCCGATGTTCACTCTGATTTTAGCTCAATGCTCCGCCTCCAAAGACATTACTCTCTTACTTTTACTTCCAGGCAAAAAACAAACTTCTTATTTTTCTTCTTCTAAGGATTTGCATTAGGGCTGGGTGATATGGCCTAAAATTGATATCATGATATATTGAGGATTTCACCTTGATAATGATAAATGGACGATAACTACAGGTATGCGCAGAAACAAAAGTTGTCCACTAGATGGGGCTGTCACATGTATTAGCTGAGTCATTACATGACTCAAGGTGGTACAGCTTCTTAAAGGGACAGGAACGTTGCCAACCTACACACATCTTTTCATTTTTTATCATCAAATTTATTGACATAGGAAAAATTATCACGATAAAAGTCAGAAATTTCGATAACGATAAATTTACGATAATTTATTGCTCAGCCCTACTTTGCATTGATGATTCGGCTAACTGAAAATGCAGTGTTGCCCTCCCACAGGCTTTACCATGGCGGCTGAAATCCCAACTCCACTCCTACAAACTGCTGATATGATTTTTTAATAAGAACATTGTTAATACTTGAACCTGCAAATATCAGTTATCGGCCATAACAGCGACATTAATATCGGATATCGGTTTCAGCTCAAATATTTCATATCGGTGCATCCTAACACCCATCTTAAATGATTCTGTATTAACACACATACACAGCTTCTAAGGTCATCAGTGGTGCAGACTACTTCCTGGAGGACAACTGCTGCTTCCCTGACCTGCCAGCTGAATAATCCCTCAGTAGTGACGCATGAAGATCTCAGACAGAGAGACCTTTAGAGGTGCCGAGCAAAGGAAACCACAGCCTGCGCTCCATGACAACAAACTGAGATAAGCATGCAAATTAGCTAAATGAAAAAATAAGAGTTATGAGTGATCATCTACGGCTATGGAGGGAAAAACAATTCTGTATTCTAATCAATTTGATCTTGTGTTTTTTACTGTACAACACATTTTTTCTCATTCAAACACAAGAAGCTAAAACACTTCTCGTTGTGTAACAAAGAGTGTAAGCCTGAGGGGAGGACAACCGACTCTCTGAGGAATACCTCTGAGCTTCTCCGGCTACGCGAGCATAAAAAAGTACCTCCAGCCACCTGCTTGTGGGACATTTGTTTCCTTTCCCACTGAATTCTCTTGAGGATAAGTTAAAAATCACAACAAACAGAGCTGCTACCCCCAACTGCAGCTGGGAGAGCCGCGCTTTCAAGCCTGGGTGCATCTCTGATGGTGTGACTGACTGAGTGGGCTGAGGCAAGAGATGGAGATCACGTTTCTATGGCGACTGCACTGATCCATTTGGGAGTCTTCTGTGAAGAGTGACTGAAAACTTCTGCAAAAAGCCCCCCGGTTCTGATCTATTTACCTCATGAGGAGACAGAGGCAAAGCCTCATCAGAGTACTTTTTGGGGGGACCAATTAAGAAATGTTTCCAGCAAAGAGTTCTGGTTCATGTTTGTTCACTCTGCTTTTTACGCGTTTAATGAGTTAAACTCTCTATGATGTCAAACTATATGTTGAAGGAAGAAAATACTTTCATGCCCTTTAAAGTCATGTAATTGAAAGTATTTACATATTTCAGAGATATCACAACTTTAAAACATGATCTTTATGTGTTTTGTTGTGTCACAACTGAATGCATTTGGTCTCAAAGACCATGGATTTTAGACCACATTTGCCAGATATAGATATTATTACCTATAATTCTGTTTGAAACATGGCACAAACAGATAAATACTATAAATCGATGGTCCAGAAGCCAACCGATATATCAGCCAGGTGATATATCGGGCCGATATACTCAACTTTTTCTATATCGGCCGAAATTATTTTTAAAAACCGATAAACAAAGTTTCTTTTTTTTTTACTCAGGCACCTGTGTGGCCAACTGCTGCCTCTAACAGACTAAAGAAAGGACCCTAAGGACCCCAACACACCATTTTTTATAGAGCAAGTCACCCCCTACCAGAGTATTATTCCACTCTCACTCCCTGTTTGAAAAATGCAACAAATGCTGTAGCCTTGCAGGCCGAGAGGGCGGAGCCGCTAACAAATACACACACACAGGTTCACAACATCATTGTGACAACATATGGTACCAGCTAATGTTCTAGGGCAGCCTTTCTCAAATGGGGGTAAGCGTACCCCTGGGGGTATGTAAAGAAACTCCAGGGGGTACATCAGAGAAGGAGACTGTGTCTAAAAAAGAGCTTGATCACAGCAGTTGCCTCCCTGCCACCAAGGATGAAAAAGATCCTCAGTGAAGCACAAGCCCAAGTGTCTCACTAAAAAGTCTGTAAAAACACTCCGATCAGTGCAGTAATGTTAAGATTTCAATCTTCTTTTTGATATTTAAAAATATATTTTGAGATTTACATTTGTTTTTAGCAATTGTTATTTAAAATGACGTTGATGATTTCTTTTAGAGAACAGATATACTATGATCCCAAATGAGAACACTTTATGTTGATATGCTTTGTATGAGCACAAACCTTTAATTATAATTAGCTTAATCATTTCTTTGGCCTGTATTTGATATATTTTTAAAAAAATATTTCTAGTTATATATTTTTTTTTTCCAAATAGTTCAAGAGATACTACAAAAAATGTGCAGTGTTTTGCACATTTATGGATTTTTCAATGAGTAATCTTATGGTTTTAAATAGTTTTATGGTGACTGTTTTCAATTAATTAATTAGAATCACATTTTAGTGATGAAAAATATTTCCAATACATTTAGTTATGGAGTATTAACATTTAAAATATTCAAAATAGTTTTTTTTTCTCAAATGGTTGAATTTTGTACTTGTTTATCAGTTTCAAAGTTTAATAAATCAGTCACTGAAGGCACCTATTTAAGGTCTTGTTTTTACAACCAAAAATGTTTTTGCGCTGATTAGGGGTACTTGGCTGAAAAAAATATTTCACGGGGGTACATCAGTGAAAAAAGGTTGAGTACCACTGTTCTAGGGTACCTCTTAGCCAATAGTGATGGCAGATTTTAATTCAAATGCAGGGCAGAGTTTTTACCTGACACTGACAGTTTTAGGAAGAAAATTAAAATTTTAACTAAAATGCACTAAAGTGCAAAACTACTGACTACATGTGTCTGCAGCACAATTAGACACACATTTATATAGTTTATCAGAAAAAAAAGTTGATTTTGGGGTGACTTGCTCTTTAAATGTGTTTAGAGTTTTTTTTTTAAGTTCATTGAATATTAAGAGATTTGTTGACTTATTTAATTTATATTGCACACAGTGAGTGTGCAGTTGTCTTTCACAATCAATGTGCTGCTAAAACGTATAGATATTGGCCGTAATAATCAGCCATCTGCAACACAATTCTTTAAAAATCGGTATTGGTGCCAGCCTCCAAAAAACCACATCGGACGGCCTCTACGATGGTCTACAAATACCTTAAAGTAGACACAGTATCTGGTATATTATAAGTATTATACTTCATCTTGGAGCCCAGTGAGTCCTTGCAATACATTGCTTGCATTAGATCCGTGACAGATGACAGGAATAAAAACATTTCCTGTTTCTTTGTTCTGCTAACAGGATGAAAGACACGACTGAGGCCAGGAAACATATATTTGTGTGAGGAATTAAAAAAGTACATTAATGACTACATTTCAATGAGAAAGTCTGATACACCTTTAAAATAAACTCCAACAAAACTGTTTGACCTTAAGCTGTTAAATAACGACACAGAACTGTCACACGTTAGATTTCGGTCTGATGCTAAATTCCTCACAGTTCTAACAGATACTGTTTAATGAGGTCAGTCATGTACAAGTTACGTGTTTTTATTCAATCAAATAGACTCTTTATTTTAAAGGTGTGGATGACTAATTTAATCAATACATTTGCAGTGGTCTCCAGTAGGCAAAAACAGCATGTAAGTCATACTCAGGGAAAAAAACAGAAGCGCCTGCATCAGCGTGGAGGAGTGAGCTGAAGGAGAGAGTGGCTGATCACGACAGGATTTGGAGTGTTATTTCCAGATATTTGGACATTTCGCCTCTGATTGGCTAACAACAAAACGACTCTACCACCGACGTCATTAGCTTTGCAACAGAGATGTTTTATCTCCACAAATAACACAAGCCTGCAGGAGTTCAGCTGTGTGGTGGAGTTGCTAATGCTAACGTTATCTTCTGCTATTAGAGACGTTCTCTGCGGTCTCCTGGACGCTAAAACAACAGCCCTGTCACAAGTCAAGATGGGTGAATCCATGAATGTTAGTGACAGCGTGATGTAGATCTGTCAGGCTTTTCTAATCATAGAGTTTTACCATCTTTTTTCTATTAGAAGCTAAAGTAGGAGATGGGTGTAGGAGACTATTCTCATGTTCAGCCTAGATGAAAAACTCAAGAGTGACCATTTAAAATCAGAAATGTTTTCAGTGATCCACACCTTTTGCTATGCTGCTAGTTCCTAATTTAAGAAAGAAGTTCCAGTCAGGAATCAGAGGACAACCTGCAGACCCTGAACTCCTTTTTCATGAGCATGATCCAGAACCAGAAGGGTGGTCCTGGATGAAGTCAAACGTTTCATTATTATGCACAAAATATATTATTATACACAATACGTTCTTACAAACGTTTTGATGGTGTAATGCTAATAGGATTTTCTCATACATCTGACCAGTGTTGTGAAACAATAAAGATATCTAAGAGGATTTGTTCCCCCGAATGTTGAGACTATTTTAAAAGTGGAAGAGTACAAACTTAACCCGATGAACTAGAAGCTTTTGTTTTTATGACAGGAAGTGGGTGATCAGTTAAACAAACTGGTGGCTGTTTTCTGTCAAATAGGTTTATGATGAATGTCATTTTTCCAAGTAACCTTATCAGACTCATTCTCGTTCATTGATGTGTGATCGGTTTCAACAATTAGAACATAAATCTCCGTGATTTCCGTAAACGTACAATATACAAGCGACTTTAACCAATTTACCACACCAGTTTTATTTCTAAAGCGCATTTAAAAACAGCATTAAGTACTGTACAGGCAGAGGCAAAAGCTAAGTACAGATATAAACATTGCACCTAAGAGAGAAGACTATTCAATGATCGAAGTTGGATTTTAATGTAATAATCTACACTAAAGCCGACTGATGTGTTCGTTTCTCTAACTAAAAACACACGGAGAACTGGCACCCTTTAATTATATTAAACCTCCGGAGGCGTTGCAGATTTGCAACATTAAAACTACCTGGTTACTCCACATGCGTATTTCATGAGCATTTTTTAACTCAGAAGTACCCCTGAAGGACTAGTTGTTCGTCCTTTTATCAAAACTTATTTTGAGCCTGAGAGGGTTAATAAACGTTTTCTGTCTTGTTTCTGGTCGGCTATAATCTCACAGTGAAATGGGTTTGTTAGTAAAATATGGTTTTAAAGGACACTTACTGTTTTATTCCCACGTTTTCTGTTTCCGGGTTGTACTCACACATCCGTAAAACCATTTGTTGGTGTTGAAAACATAATATTCCGCTGTTTAATAACAAAGACACGAGCTGCTTCTCTGCATCACGACCGACCCAAGGGCGCCGCCATCTTTTTTATTTCAATAACCTTTATTGACACAAAGAACGCAGACAATTTATTTTTTTTTCCTATAGACCGTAAAATAAATCAATAAAAATATTTTATTTTATTTTATTTTATTTTATGTATTTTCTTCCAAAGAAGAAGAAGAAAGTCCAGCAGGTTTGTCTGTTGGGCACGTGTCAGATGGTGTCAGTGTGCGCAGGCTAGTATGTAAAGCCTTGTTTATTTGAATGAGTTATGATTACATTTGTTACTATGGCAACAATGAAATTACTACTAGCCTCTTATATTGCCTTTTCCCGGTTTATTTTTATTTATTTATTTTGTAGCCTGCAGAAATCTAAAATTTGTTCCAGCAGCTGATCTGATTTTGCTCTGAAGACCTCTGCTGTACCCCCATCATGACTGGAGCCGCAGCAGAGGGAGTCCACCTTTTCTTCAGTTTAAATCAGCAAGTTTATGCAAAGCAGCCGGCAGATATCTCTGATATTAAAGTGGGAGGCAATCTGATAAGTCAGTTCTCATTAATATTATTTAACAGTCCAATGCACAGGGGAGGTCTCGAGAGAGAGGTCTGCAATTTTCAACTGTGAGACAAAATGAGAAGAAGAAAAAAAATCCTGAAAATCACATTGTCTGATTTTTAAATAATTTATTGGCAAATTATGATGGAAAGAAAAAGCTGGTCTCCTAAAAACAAGTTATATTTCTGGCTCTCACAGAACTGTGACTTCTTCTGAAAGAAGTTCCTCTGTCCTCCACTCGTTAGCTGTATTAATGGCACCTGTTGGAACTTGTTGTCAAAATCACTATCAAAATTGTAGACATGCACCAGGCTGCGAAGACTGGATCTGCAATATGTAAGCAGCTTGGTGTGAAAAAATCAAATGCAGGAGCAATTATTACAAAGTGGAAGACAGGACCTATACTCTCCCTCAATCAGGAGTTCCACGCAAGTTCTCATGCTGTGAGGTCTAAATAATCACAAGAACAGTGAGCAAAATGTCAGCATACGGGGTGGGGGGTGGGGGGGACCTGGAGAATGACCTGCAGAGAGCTGGAACCAAAGTTACAAAGGCTACCATCAGCAACACACTACGCCACCAGGAACTCGAATCCTGCAGTGCCAGACGTGTCCCCCTGCTTAAGACGGTACATGCGCAGGCCTGTCTGAAGTTTCCTGGAGAGCATCTGGATGGACCAGAAGTGGATTAGAGAACGTCATGTGGTCGAATGAAACCAAAGTAGAACTTAAATACTCTACTCATCGTGTTTGGAGGAGAAAGGATGCTGTTGCACAAAGAACACCATAACTACTGCAAAGCATGGGAGTGGAAACATCATAATTTGGGGCTGCTTTTCTGCCAAGGGACCAGGATGTCTGATCCATATAAAGGAAAGAATGAATGGGGTCCTGTATCGCCAGCTTTTGAGGGAAATTTCCTTCCATCAACAAGGGCATTGAAAATGAAACATGGCTGGGTCTTCCAGCATGACAATGATCCCAAACACACCACCCTTATAATGGAGTGGCTTCGTAAGAAGCATTTCAAGGTCCTGGAGTAGTCTAGCCAGTCTCCAGATCTCAACCCCAAAGAAAATCTTTGGAGTGGGTTGAAAGTTCACATTGCCCAGCGACAGCCCCATGTAATCACTGCTCCCCAACTGATATAAATGTAGGAATGGGCCAAAATACCAGAAACAGTGTGTGAAAACTTTGCAATAACTTACAGAAAACCTTTTACTTCTGTCACTGCCAACAAAGAGTATATAAAAAGTATTGAGGTGGGACATCCTTATTAACCAGAATAAATATTTTCCACCTTAAGTTGCAAATACAGTTGTTAAACCTACCTATCTATCTATCTATCTATCTATCTATCTATCTATCTGTCTGTCTGTCTGTCTGTCTGTCTATCTATCTATCATCTGTCTATCTATCTATCCATCCTTCCGTCCGTCCGTCCGTCCATCCATTATCTATCTATCTATCTATCTATCTATCTATCTATCTATCTATCTATCATCTATCTATCTATCTATCTATCTGTCTGTCTGTCTGTCTGTCTGTCTGTCTATCTATCTATCTATCATCTGTCTATCTATCTATCCATCCATCCGTCCGTCCGTCCGTCCATCCATTATCTATCTATCTATCTATCTATCTATCTATCTATCTATCTATCTATCTATCTATCTATCTATCTATCTATCTATCTATCTATCTATCTATCTATCTATCTATCTATCTATCTATCTATCTATCTATCTATCTATCTATATCTATCTCTATCCCTATCTCCCTATCCCTATCCCTATCCATATCCATATCTATATCCATATCTATATCTATATCTATATCTACATCTATATCTATATCTATATCCATATCTATATCTATATCTATCTCTATCCCTATCTCCCTATCCCTATCCCTATCCATATCCATATCTATATCCATATCTATATCTATATCTATATCTACATCTATATCTATATCTATATCCATATCTATATCTATATCTATATCCATATCCATATCTGTCTGTCTATCTATCATCAAAAAAGTAATCCCATCGACAGGTTTTGGTGAGATAAAATGTAAAAACGGTTTCATCTGAAGGTGTGGTGGTCTATTTTGTTGTTTGTCGGAATAATGTGGACGAAGATATTTTCAGAAACAATGTAAAATGATAAATGGCCAGAAAGACACACAGCTTTCTGGGATTCTACAACCCCGCATGGTGCTTTACAATACAATCAGTCATTCAAACACTCATTCACACATTGGTGGGAGGAGCTACATGGTTATGAATTCATACTTAACTCCATTGCCGACATCATGTAGGCAAGGCTTTAGTCTGGAAACATAAACTGGCTGAACGAACCACTTTGAACTCCAAAGCAACCATTGGTCTTGGTTGTAACTTAAAACATAACATTTGTATCAACATCTCATGTTTACTTTCTAAGTCTTGATGGATAAAAGACGTGGAGATGAAGACGTTCATCCGTATGTTGAGTTATAGCCTCTCTGATATGTTTTTTTTTTTTGGAAATGTTTGCATAGAGCGCTGAAACAAGCTGACACACAGCTGATTAAACCAGAGGAGGCTGTCTACGAGTGTGACAGAGAACGAGTTAAGAAGGTAACCAGACCGCAGGGGTCCAGGAAACCTGACTGAGGCTGGGAATGTCATGGTCCGTGGTGAGCTGCCTGCCAGTAATCATGTCTGTCCTCTGTCTTGTCTGCAGGTGGGCGTGTCTGAGAGCAACCAGCTGCAGCTGACCCTGTCATCAAGGCCCAGGGGATTTAAGGAGCAGTGTGACACTACTCCACGCCGGATGATTACTCTGTTTGGGTAGCGCTAGCATCTTGACCCGTCTCAAGTTTGTTCATCTTGTTAGAAAACCCGTCGCCTGAAAGTTCAGACAATTCTCCCCTGTTCTCCTCCAGGTTTCCCACTCCATCTCCACTCGTCTACATAACCAGCTTGGATTCCTGCTCACACTGCTGTTCCCCTGGCTGTCCGCTCTCAGCCGCTCACCTGCCTTCACCAGCATCCACACCCGCCTCACCTTTTTGGACAAACTGGACTTTGCTCTCTGGACCTCTTCAGCTCTCCCGGACCTGACCGAGCCCCCTCCTTGCCGCCTGCCTCTACCGGAAACGGTAAGCTCCAATCTCAGCCAGTATCTCCATAATCCTTCTGGAAACTCGCCGTCTCCTCCCTCAGAACCCCACCTTGGAATCCTGCTACCAGTAAGCAGCATCTCCAGTTCCCGTTGCTACTCCTTTAGATCCTCATAATAAATCCTGTTTTTACACTCACCTGTTCTCCGTGTGTGATTCTGCATGTCGTGGGTCAAAAAACTGCCTCCCATCATGACAAGGAAGTCTATCTATAATAAAGAAGCTGGTTAAATGCCAAGGAAGAGAAACTTACTTCCTTAATTAGCTCATTTAGCATAGGAAACACAGGCCCATCCTATAACTCGCTAGAAACGTGGCTCCTGCAGCCTTATTAACAGGAAGTTGTGTGAATAAAGGAAAGGTCAGGATCATGACTAGCCTGTGAGAGCGTGTTTAAGTTTTGGGTGTTTTCTTCATGGTTGAATCACCAGTGCGTGTGATATCATAGTTTGCGTGATTTATGATAAAAATCTCCTGCCCAGAGGTTTATTTGAATAGTTTCTCCAGATTTGGTGAATTTTCTTCACCAACCATTCTGACTTGAGCTGAAACCATACACACTGCTAAACTAGTACAGCGACTCGCAGAGATGAAATATTCTATTTGATGGAGTGATGACAGAAGAGGGCTGACGTCGGACAACCTTGTGGTTCTTTGGGAGATTTGTTGTATTCATGAAGAGCCACAAGGCACGTCTGAATGTGAATCAGTGTGTCTACTCGTTTTTTATGTGTAACTCAGATTTTCCAGCTCCAATCTCGAGTTGATCCTCCTCACAGCGAAGAACCGTATTCCAAGGAATGCTTTTAATTTTATTAGACATCTGAGAAAAGGAGAGCGTCTTTGATGCCAGCTTTTCAAGAACAAAGTGACTTCTGACTGATGCTAATCACCACCACAAAGCAGAGACTGAGGAGGAAGATGACGAGGAGCCAACATCACATCACTCTGCTGTGGTGTTTTTTTTAACGAGTCCTCCTTTGATCTGACACGCCGGCAGAAGGTGTGAAGTCAGACTCACTGAAGAAGAGGAAGAGGGGACGTCGGTGAGCTAAAACCAGGGCTTCGCTCCCACTGACTGTCGTGTATCAGAGTGAAGCCGACGTCTCCGTCTGAGGCGGAACAGGACAGAGGAGGAAAAATGAGTTTCTGACACTGTGGAGATCCTAAATATGATCAGAATCAGTCAGCTGACCCGCTGACTCTGATACTCACATCTGCACCGTCCTTCGAACACTCTGGAATACCTTCTACAGGGGAAAAAACCACATGCATGACACATTCTTAACATAAAAACAAAATTCCTCCATTCGTTTT